CAATTTATCCTTTGAACAATTGTTCATACACATATTAATTAATATATTAATTAAATTATTGTTTATTTAATCTCATTTAATAATAACCGTTAGATGAGAAAATRAACGATTAAGATGGGTTAGCATAGTTTGCACAAAATATTGTTTACTTCAGTGAAAATTTTCATGTAATTGTTTAATATGATGAAATTGTTTCAAATAATTCATTTCAAATAGTTATGGACATTATCATCTTCATATCATTAATTTTAGTAAACAAATATCATCAAAATAGAGAAATACGTGAAACAATTTAATTTTTACATAGAAACAAAAATATATGAAACATTTTCATCTAGAAATGAATTATTGGAAACAATTCCATGAATTTTTTTTACTAAAATAAACAATGAAATCGACGGTTTTCACGGTTTGTACAAATAGCTTGGTTTGCATTTTATCCCTCCCCTATATATATATATATTCATAGGCTGGAGTAGTAGACACAGCATATACATATCATACTAAATTAATGTAAGAATAATCTATACACTTTTCTCAATGACGACATATAGATATAATAACAAAGAAAAAATATATTGATCTATTAACAATATATATATATATATATATTAAATATTAGTATGCTAATTGTTAACAACTCATGAGTCATAAAGAAAAAAGTTAATATATCAACAAAGTAAAAGTAATAAATCAAGAAAGTGGGAATGGGAAGTGGGATTGTAGAAGTGACACGTGGAGACTTGAAGAGACATTTTTAGAGATAATGCAAAGACTCGGTATACAAATATAAGATGTGTGAAAACAAAATAATATTAAAAAGAAGAATCAGGCATCCAGCTGCATACGCCTCACAGCCTCACGCCTTGTATACTCAATGCATACCACTCAAACACAGAATGAACGGCGGCGCCTTAGTAGCGATTTTATGGCGCCTCACCTTGAGGCGCACACATCAAACGATTTTGAAAACCATGCTTGTGTCACATACATTCTGGGTCTTCATTTCATGGCAATCTTCCATGGTTTTTCATTCACCATGAGTGGATATCATAATATCCCAATCACTTGTGTCACATTCATTATGAGCATGCCCTATACTAGGGAAGCCTTTGTTAATTTTGCAAATTCACCACTTATATCCCTGATTAATCCACATAGTTTTGTCAATATGAATATTTTCATGATTGGAGTGATTAATGTGGTGCCGAAAAATATATTATATCATACCTTGTTCACATGACATTATCAGTCTTCTCTGATGCCTTGGGGAAAACACACTCCCAGAGCAATGGGTGTAGGTTAATATATTTAAACAAGTTGCGCCATATTGAGTTTATTATTGATGTAGTCGATTTGCTAACATTGCTTCTTTAGAGTCTAAAGTCAGGTCTGCATACATCCCACCTCAATTCCACCTCTTGGTGGGATATACCAGTCTTGTTTGGTTTGAATTTGTTAACATTGCTTCATGAGCGTATGCAACTTGTACATCTAATAACGTTCCCTTGAAGAAAGAAAGGACAATTCATACTTAGTTAATTCCAAACATGTTTACACTTATATTTTGTTCTCTCTTCCTAATACACATACCTATCTCGAGACCATACAATGGTTGAGGATCAAAAGTATACGTATTTTCTTTTGGTTTATGTTGCCTTGTTTTCCTTTGTTGTTGCTTCTATTGTTGTTGGGAGGATGTGTTACAAATTTGGTTGAAATGTATTTCTCCTATAAATCTATCAAATTTGAAGTTTAGTTTGTATTTAATTGTTTGTCAATCAAAAACATGATGTCTTCACACCAATTAACAACAATTATTACATGATTTAGACATAATAATTCTTCCATAAGAAGTGCATGGCTTTAGTTGAAATTTTTGAGCTCAATTACTAGGAAGTAGTCAACCGTACTGATGTGCTACATTAATTTTCCAACATTTGTTATGTTGTTGATCTGAAGTGGTAAAATACCGTACTTGCAAAACCTTTAATTTCCATTTTACTGAGTGCAATATGAATGCTGCAGAGTATCAAATAGCTTACAACATCAGGTGGAAGAAGGAAGCGCGGATGAGAGCGTCATTTTAGGCTCACAGAAGTCATATGAAAAGGAAAGTGGGGAAAGTAAGAGAGTCTCGTATGATAACGTGCAAATTAAGTCAAATTTGGAGTTGGAAAGTGTGCACATGAGCAACTCAAGCAAAGAAAATAGATATAAATCCAATAAACACTGTACTACTTTGGAACCTATTAGGAAGGCACCACAAGATGTCGCCACTTCTTGCTCGATAGAATTCGCATTTGACAAAGGAGCCATGGAAACTGAAAATTCAAATGGCAACAGGATCACTGAAGCTTATGGTGATAGTCTGAAGCAGAAAGATATGAATGGAGCAAGTGGAGCGAGTAATAAGGGACTTGATAGGCCAATGGTTTCCTTGCAAAAAGGAAATCAAAATACTAAGATGCATACACCACTCAAGGTTTATCGTCATGAAAAGAGGTCTACTACAAATGCTATCAACAACAAGGTGAATTATCTTCATTATGTCATTATAATTTTAGTTTGGCATTTTAATATCCCCTTTATAGTATTACTTGAATACAATTGTTAAAAAACTTCTTGATAAATTGGAAATAAGAATAAAAACCTAGACAAAGAAGATGAAGACTGTTTGAATAACTCACATAGGTGAAAAAGGTTTATATATTGCATGGTCCTACCACCCCAACCCTTTTCTCTATCTCATGACCCCCTAGCTTACACAATCTATGCATATTACGTAATTGTTTTATTGTATAAAGGCCTAGTTGTGTACCTAGTTTCGTTTTGCTTGTAATTCTACATTAGCTAATGGAAACTCTACTTATATATTTAAGCTAAACTCAAGACACATATATATTTCAAACTAACTCAAGACAACAAGAGAAAGTTAGGTACATGGGTTGGGTATAGCATATACATGTTGCATTTTGAAAGGAACGAGTTTATATAGTTTTCATTCAAGACAAGAAGTCAATTATCCAAAACCAGAACCAATTGAGCAAGGCTAAAAATGGAACCTATCTGTAATTGCTAAAGATATGAAAGAACCAATGGCTGAAAACATAAACACCTTTCAATACATGTGGTGAATTCCTCAAATCTGTTCCAATCCTTCAAGTCCTTTGAGAACAACCATTTTCTCGTTTGATTGATTAAAATTGTTTGTACATGACCTATTGTTGTATACTCGGTCTACAAGTAATTCAATGATACCAAGGGAACAAAAAAGAAGAAACTAATAATATAGCAAAATAAATAAAATAGAACATATGCTATAGCACATACAATAAATGAATATTGAAAAACTAAATGTTATTCTTTGTATACTATACTCCCCCTCTAGTTGAGTTGCATATGTTGTACAACCCTAACATGGAATTGAATTCATCACAGCTTGTTCTCAGAAGAGCCTTAGTTAGAATATTGTTAATTAAGTAACTAGTTTATGGTAATGTGTCCAAACCCGATGGGCTTTAGGGTTAGGGTTTCCCGTGTAATTATGTCTATATATAGTGTCTCTTCTCATGTAAATTTGAATTTTTACTGATTAATCATATAATAGAGAGTTCTCTCTGATTACATGGTATCAGAGCCTAGGGTTTATCGTCGTTACTGTTCATCGCCGGAGTTACTCTTCATCGCCGGAGTTACTGTTTATATCGGAGTTACTGTTCACGCCGGAACCCCCCCCGGCGTCGCCGGAACCCTAGTCTCCCTTGGGTGTTCGTTTTTGATTTGATTAATATGACGAACACTGATGATAAAGCCTCCGGTAGTACTCGTGTTCCTGACATAATTTCARCCAGTAGTAAAGTTACTGAAAACAAGCTTAATGGTAACAATTACTTCGAATGGATCAAAACGATTCGTTTGTATGTTCGAAGTATGGGAATGGYTTCCCATCTGGAATCTGACCCTCCCACTACGGGTAATCGTGACCTTTGGTTACAACAAGATGCYCGTATGTTCTTGCAAATTATAAATTCTATTGAGCCCTCCGTTTCAACTTTAATCAGTCATTGTGAATGTGAGAGCTAATAGAATATCTTGACTTCCTGTACTCCGGACAAAGTAATATTTCAAGGATTTACAGCGTATGTAAGTCATTCCATCGTGGGGAACAACAGGACCGATCACTTACCGCCTATGCCATGGAATTCAAGAAGATATATGAGGAAATGAACTCTCTTCTCCTATTGAGTACTGATGTGAAAACTATGCAGACTCAAAGGGAACAGATTGCTGTCATAAGCTTCCTGACTGGCTTACGCCCAGAATATGATTCCATCAGATCTCAGTTCTTAAATGAATCCGTGATACCTTCTCTTCAAGAGACTCTTGCTCGGGTTCTTTGGCATGAAGATTTTCAGCCTACTCCACCATCTGATCATAATTCGGCTTTACTTAGCCGAGGTGGATACCGTTGCGGTTTTCGAGGTGGCTATCGTGGAAGGGGTAGCACTAGAGGAGGCCACAATGATCGACCAACTGATTTTAACTCAGACGTAGAGTGCCACTACTGTCATGAAYTTGGTCATACTAAGTTTAATTGCAAGAAACGGCARKTTAGAAATCAGAGACTCTCCTTAGCACATGYTGCAACTACATCAGATGACACAGCTATGAGACACAAAGAGGAACCTCATCTGGTAAATGAGCACCYCGCTGCTTCCAYTRMTATGTTTGYTGAGACAGGTAACTMTGGCAAATGCTTTGTATCATCCTCCTCCAAATGGGTCATTGATTCAGGTGCCTCAGACCATATGACTGGTAATTCCCACCTTCTCCTAAATTTCAATAAACATGCATCCTCAGCTCAAGTCACAGTAGCGGATGGATCTGTCTCCCAAATAATTGGGTCTGGCACTGTTAAATTGTCCCCATCTGTTTCGTTATCCTCGGTCCTGAGCCTACCAAAATTTTCTTTTAACTTACTGTCTGTGAGCAAAATTACTCGCACTTTGAATTGTAGTGTCTCAATTCTTTCCTGATCATTGTGTCTTTCAGGATTTGCAGACGAAGAGGATTATTGGTAGAGGACGGGAGTCGGATGGCCTATACATATTTGAACCACCCAAACCATATTCTTTGGCAAGTTCCAGTTCACCATCTCCTTTTGAAGTTCATTGTCGACTAGGTCATCCTTCCTTACAGAGTCTCAAGTAGTTGTGTCCTGAATTTTCCCATTTACAGTATTTACAATGTGAGTCATATCAGTTTGCCAAACATCAACGTGTTCACTTAAGTCCTAGAGTCAATAAGCGGGCTGCATCCCCATTTCAATTAGTACATTATGATGTCTGGGGCCCATGTCCTGTAACGTCTAAGTCTGGTTTTAAGTATTTTGTTACGTTTGTAGATGATTATTCTCGAACTACTTGGTTATACTTCATGAAAAACCGTTCAAAAGTGTTTAATCATTTACGTTCCTTTCATTATGAAATCCAAACTCAGTTTCAAACATCTATTARAACCTTACRAAGTGACAATGCAAAAGAGTATGTATCCCAACAAATTCAATCCTATATGTTGCAAAATGGTATCCTTCATGAGTCCTTATGTGTTGATACTCCAGCACAAAATGGGGTAGCCAAACTAAAAATCGTCCTTGAGGTTGCCCGAGCACTTCTGTTTCAGATGTCCGTCCCTAAGTCTTTTTGGGCCGATGCGGTATCAACAACCTGTTTTCTTATCAATAGAATGTCGTMTGTTGTCCTGAATGGAGAAACTCCATTCYCTGTTTTGTTCCMAGGACAACGATTATTCCCTATTGAGCCAAAGATCTTCGGTGTTACATGCTTTGTTCGTGACACACGCCCCACTATCACCAAGCTTGATCCCAAATCTCTGAAATGCATGTTCCTTGGGTACTCTCGTCTCCAAAAGAGTTACAGGTGCTTCTCTCCCAATCTTAACCGCTATATTGTATCTCGGGATGTTACCTTCCATGAGAACGTGCCGTTCTTCCCAATTTCCCTTCCGACTCCTTTAAATGAGAAAGATGATGACTTGTTGGTGTAAACCATACCCACTCCTGAGTCCACTACTCAAGCCACCAGACCACCCATTGTTCATGTATATAATAGGCGCGAACGACCTCCTCCGTCTTCACCAATATCATCCGAGTCTGCAGATCCACCATCCCCAGAAGATGTACCTCCTGAAGCTTCTATACCCACTCCAGTAAATGAGGATCCTGATCTTGACGCTCCTATTGCTCTCCGAAAAGGTAAACGTTCCTGCACGTATCCTATTGCTTCCTTTGTTTCTTATGATAAACTCTCCAGGTCATCTCGTTCTTTGGTCTCTACCCTTGATTCTATACCTATTCCATCTACGGTTGGGGAAGATTTGACTCATCCTGGATGGCGGGATGCTATGATTGATGAGCTCAATGCTCTTGATCATAACACCACATGGGATTTGGTAGAGTTACCTGCTGGCAAAAGAGCAATTGGCTTTTAGTGGGTGTTCACTGTGAAAGTTAATCCTAATGGCTCGATAGCATGGTTAAAAGCTCGTTTGGTTGCAAAGGGGTATGCCCAAATTTATGGAGTGGATTATTCTGAGACTTTTTCTCCTGTTGCAAAGATGGCGTCTATTCGGCTTTTCATCTCTCTAGCTGCTACCTATAATTGGCCTCTTCACCAATTAGATGTGAAAAACGCCTTCTTACATGGCGATCTGCTAGAGGAAGTCTACATGGAGCAACCCCCCGGGTTTGTTGCTCAAGGGGAGTCTGGGAAGGTTTGTAAATTACGGAAGTTGTTATACGGCCTAAAGCAATCACCTCGTGCATGGTTTAGTCGGTTCAGTTTTGTGGTAACTACATTTGGGTTACGAAGAAGCTCATATGACCACTCAGTGTTCTTTACTTCATCTGATTCTGGATGTATCCTKCTAGTGGTTTATGTCGATGATATTGTGATTACGGGCAGTGATGAGAATGGAATTAAGAAGTTGAAAGAATTCCTCGCATCTCAATTTCAAACTAAGGACCTTGGTCCACTAAAATATTTCTTGGGTATTGAGGTATCTCGGAATCACAAAGGAATTTGCCTATCTCAACGAAAATACTGCCTTGACATACATGATTCTGGCATGATCGACACGAAACCATGTGAAGCTCCTATGGTTCCGAATGTAAAGCTGAAGTCTGATGATGGGGATCCTCTTGAGAACCCAGAGAAGTACAGGAGAATTGTGGGATGGCTGAATTATCTGACAATCACGCGTCCTGATATTGCCTTTCCGGTAAGTGTATTGAGTCAGTTTATGTCATCTCCAAGAACTACACATTGGGATGCAGTCTGCCATATTTTGAAATATCTGAAGGGAGCTCCTGGTTATGGCATCAAGTACCAAAACCATGGTCATTATGTCATAGAAGGGTTTACTGATGCAGACTATGATGGAGACCCTACAACCAGACGATCAACAACACGGTCAACAACAGGCTACTGTGTCTTTGTGGGAGGGAATTTGGTATCTTGGAAAAGCAAGAAGCATAATGTTGTATCAAGATCAAGCGCTGAATCTGAATACCGTGCAATGGCTCAAACTACTTGTGAGTTGATATRGCTGCATAATCTATTGGGAGAGATTGGATTTAATCAATCTAAACCGATGAATTTATGGTGTGACAATGAGGCAGCTATCCATATTGCAAGCAATCCTGTATTTCACGAGAGAACTAAGCATATTGAAATAGATTGTCATTTCACTCGGGAAAAGCTTGAAGATGGATCTATTTCAACCTCTCATGTCAGAACTAGCAATCAATTAGCCGACGTCTTGACCAAAGCATTACCAGGGAACCGAATCACATCTTTTTGTAACAAGTTAGGCATGATCAATATATATGCTCCAGCTTGAGGGGGAATATTAATTAAGTAACCTGTTTATGGTAATGTGTCCAAGCCCGATGGGCTTTAGGGTTAGGGTTTCCCATGTAATTATGTCTATATATAGTGTCTCTCCTCTTGTAAATTTGAATTTTTACTGATTAATCATATAATAGAGAGTTCTCTCTGATTACATGGAATTGAATTTATCACAGCTTGTTCTCAGAAGAGCCCTAGTTAGAATATCAACAATATGCGTTCAAGTAGGAATGTAGCTCAGTTGTATGATACCACGGTTCACTTTTCATTAAATATTTGTCAATATCTACATATTTTGTTCAGTCATGATAAACAAAATTCTTGGCATAAGTATAATTACTTGGTTATCAGTGTACATCTTTCTAGATTCAGAAGCTTAACTCTCGGTTCGTGTTATAGTATTTTGATCCATAAACCTTCACATATCCCTATGGAAAGAGCCCAATATTCTGTTTTTACACTGCCTTTGGAGACGACTACTTACTTTGCCAAGCAACCAAATTTCGGGATTTAGGAATATTTTTTGTGTACATTTTTTATGCGAGGGATACATATTATATGCAGTAGGAGGAATCCTTATCAATCAAGGTACATAAGAAAACAAGGAATGATATCCTGACAACTTCATAAACCGAACCAGGAATTACAATTTTATTCAAAGTGGTCACAGAAGATCAAAATTTATTTAACAAGTTTGAGTATGAGATATAGCATCAAAAAGGTGTTCAGTACATGGCTGAACCCCTTTTTTTAAGCAATGGGAAAATCCACCTTTGGATCACTTTTTGTTACCTTAGAATCTGAATTCGAACTAGATCTTGCTTCATCATGTAACCTTTCAAGATTGACTACCGCTTGTTTCCTGCTTCACCAAGTAACCAAATATCATGATTTGAGAATATTTTATGTTTATATGATCAAAGAGAGAGATATTATATACAATAAGAGGAAATTCTTACAAAATAAGGCACCTAGAAGACAAGGAATGATGCTCTCTGGGATTCAATGATGGATGTTGAGGTTATGATCTGAGAATTGCCGTACACGATGGTAGTTTGTGAGATGGTTGTGGTGGTCGTGGGAGTTGGATCAAGGAGTAGGCTGGGTTGCGTTGTCTGTGACTCGCTAGGAGGCTGGCATGATGAGGAAGACCGACAAGAAAGGTAAGGCGTGGGGTTGCAGGTCAAAGGGAGAAGGAAGGATGAGGGTTGCAGGTGAAAGGGATAGAGGGTGGGGTACATGTGGCACCATGTGGTTGGTGCCTTAAATTTTTTTTTATTAATAGGTAAAATGACCAATTTGCCTATGGGTTTATGGATTGAATTTAATGGTATTAGTGTCAGGACCAGCTCGTTACGAAATGCAAACCATGGGAACGTTCAATGTACTTATTTTGAAAGAGGGACCATATCCATATTCTAACCAAACTGTAGGGACCCAAGGTGTAATTTACTCTATATAATATATGTATATATATATATATAGAGAGAGAGAGAGAGTGTGTGTGTTTCAAATGCAAATCATGGAAATCTTTCAAACCATACAAACCCTGGTCACGCTTATATTAGGATACAATCAAGATATTTGTAGAAGATGGATCAATTCATTCATTATGATTATTGATTAAGATTAGGAAACAATCGAGATATTTATGGAACAAATAGTTGGACGGTTAAGATTGATTTGTATAGTATACAATATTTCCATGGTTTGTATTTGAAACACCTCTCTTTCTATATATATATATATATATATATATATATATGAAGATTGTGCAAGAATCTTTATAAATTAAATTATTTACATACATACTTGATTTGTGTCATTTATAACTATTATATGATGTATCAAATCATTATACAAGATTCTAGGGCAACATGGTCATTTTAGCAGTTTAGATTTGTTTTGTCCTGTCCTGTTCAACTTACCAACACTTTGTTCAGTCTTGTCCTAGTCGTACTAAACACGTATAATTTGTCCACTCCAATCAGGCCTGCACACCAAATGCTACCTTAAGGAGATACACAATAGGCGAGGTTGATGGTAGGCCAAAATAGTTTTTGTATCGGTGGAGAATATTCGAGAGAACAATAGTATGTGGGTACAGCTGGGGAGAGTCTAGAGATTTCTGATTTAGAGCCTTGGTTCTGATGCCATGTAATCAGGGTGAAGAACAAATGCCTAGTTACTTAGGGGAGATCCCATGTAGAGTGCATGTTGGTGATGTGCATAAACGTACAAAATAATAAATCCTAAATAACTAAACTAATGGATACATAATGGAAGCCTGATGGAATGGGGGTGGGGGGGGGGGGAGGTAGGGTGGGTGCATTAATGGGTAAAAGACAAAACAAGGAAAGACAAAAGTAATCGGTAAAAAGACAAAAAATGCCCTCCCTTGATGGGCAAATTTTAACAGAGTTAGTGGTAGGGACTCTTTTCAAAGTAAAACCAAAACTATAATGAACGTTCTTGTACTTCTTTGCATTTTAGGGATCATGTCAAATTTGTGTAAACCACAGGGACCAAAAATGTAGTTTACTCTTTAAATTATTTATTTATATAATGAAGCTTTTGGCTGTTTCTAGGAAGGGCTGAAGGGCTTGAAGAACATGTCAACCGTTAGTAAATGCAGAGACCAAAGCGTTGATGGTGAAAAGAAAACCTGCATTGACTCACCTCATGAAAATGCAATACTAGCAGTGGATTGTGCTCTGGCCTCCGTTCAGCAGAATGCTGAGTCTATTGAAGACTTTCAAATCACGGTGGATGCAAAGAGATCTGAATTATCAGAGGCTGCCCTTCGAGCTCTTTTGAAGAAAAGAGAAAAACTGGTATGCTTCTATACATCATAATTAACTGCTTTGATATATTCTTCTTGGACTCTGAATAGGTGAACTAAATATCATGCATTCATCTATGGGATTTGTTATGTGATGTGTATATAAACCCAGAACAGAAAATATCTATAAAGTAATTAGAGTATTGAATGCCACAGATGTATGTTCCTTATATTTGATTATTGGCATTCCCAGATCTTTTTCCAAGTCCATTTGACAGGTATTCACAACCATTAGCTGACTCTGAGTAACTTGATCATCACATTCAACTGGTCATAAGTTCTAACCAGGTTTGCAAATTTCTAATAACAAATGATATAGTACTAATTTTTTTTAAAATTTTAATGGAAAATAATAGATAATTTTAGAAAGACCCAAATGTTGGGAAAATCATACATGAAATAAGGCACTAATCTCGTATGTATATATAAAAGCTTTAGAGTTGCAGTTCTTATTATTCACTGCTATATTTAGATCTACTATATAAGGGGATATTTATACAAGAGAGATTAAGAGATAAGACTACAACTACAACTCTAATATAAAGGGATAAAACTTATCTATAGATGGATTCCTTGTCAGAGTCTATCTACAGCTCTCTATTTAACCCATATCCATATACTATTCTACACTCCCCCTCAAGCTGGATGGTATATATTATACAATCCAAGCTTGACCTTTAGAGAGTTAAACAGTGGCAATTTAGTGCTTTAGTGAAGATGTCGGCCACTTGTTGAGTAGTATGGATGTAGGAGACTTTTTAAGATTTCCTAGTCAATCTTCTCCTTGATGAAATGACGATCCACCCCAACATGTTTTGTTCGATCATGATGAACTAGATTATGTGTCACAACGATAGCAACATTATTATCACAGGAAATAGTCATCAGGTGTAGTACACGGATTCATAGATCCTTTAGTATCGTCTTAGCCAAGAGTGCTTCACACACACCTAGGGCAGTAGCTCGTAGTTCGGCTTCAGCGCTGCTTCTTACTTTGCCATGTGACAAGGTTGCCAAACACATAGGAACAGTAACCCGAGATAGAGCACCAATCATTTTGACAACTTGCCCAACTTGCATCTGTGAACACTTGCTACACTTCTATTGTCTTATTTTTTAAACAGTAAATCATGACCTGGTGTAGCTTTAAGGTACCGTAGGAGCAACATCAAGATGGCATTGGGATGGTGAGTGCATAAATTGGCTTACATAGTTAACTGCAAACGTAATATCAGGCCTGGTATGTGCAAGGTATATCAGTCGACCAACAAGACGTTGGAATCTCCCCCTGTCAACTGCAACCGTGAAAGTAGCATCAGGCTTTAGATTAGACTCCATAGGAGTAGAGGCGGGCCGAGATCCTAGCATCCTGCTGTCTTTTTGCAAGTCCAAGGTATATTTCCTTTGAGACAAGCTAATCTAGATTTCATTTTTGCAATCTCCATTCCCAAGAAGTACCATAATGAACCAAGGCCTTTCATTTCGAAAGAGTGAGCCAGATAAGCTTTGATTTTTGCAATGGCCACTGCATGATCTTCCGTAAGCATGATATCGTCGACATACACTATAAGGGTAGCGATCTTACCATGCTTAGATAGAAAAGGGTGTGATCGACATGGGCTTGAGCATACCCAAAATTTTCTCCGTGTGAGTGAATCGATCAAACTATGCTTTAGGGGACTGTTTGAGACCATAAATGGCTTTCTTGAGACGACAAACTTTCTGGGTACCATTGGTAGCATGAAAACCAGGGGGTAAATCCATGTGGATTTTTTCGTTGAGGTTGCCATTTAGAACTATTTTCTATGTCTAGTTGATGAAGAGGCCAATCAAAGTTGACAGCAAGTGATAGAGAACCTAGGTGGTATTAATTTTGGCAACTGGGGCAAAGTTTCTTGATAATCGATCGTGTAGGTCTGAGTGTAGTCTTTTGGGACTAACCGAGCCTTGTATATGTCAATAGAGCCATCACTTTTGTACTTCACCATGAATACCCATTTACAGCTGTTAAGATACTCAATATCCTTGAAGATACTCGATATCATTGTAAAATAGGAATTGGAGATTATGGGTAATATGTCCTTGTAATTTGCTGCTGTGAATATCTTAGGAATCCTTTCCTTTTCTTCTCATATTCTTTGTGTATATATAGCCTTTGTACCTCCCTTTTTTGAGACAAGTGAAACAAAAAAAAGAATTCTACATGGTATCAGAGCTCGGTTTCGTAACAATCACTAGTTCCACGAATTGAAATTTTTTGGTACGTTTTTTCCTTAGATCGATATTTTTGTTCATCGTTTTTTTTCTTGATCGACAAGTTTCCTTGGATCGGAAGTTTTCTGTTCGTCGGTTTCTTTTGGCACCCTGTGAGTGCGATTATCCTCATCTCTGTTCGTCGGCTATTTGGAACCATGTGGTTTGCTTTCTGGTTTTCTATCCTTCGTCCTAAGTTCTACGTTCTCTCTTCTGGTTCGTGAATTATTGGAAGATGACCGGAGAAGACAAAAGATCTGACAATAACAGTAGTTTACGTGTACCCGAGATGCTTCAGTAAATGTTAAGCTCACCGACAACAAGCTTAATGGCTCCAACTACTTTGAGTGGAGCAAAACTATTCGTATTTATCTCCGGAGCATGGGAATGACTTCTCATCTCACATCGGATCCTCCTATAGGTAACAGTTGTGATTCATGGTTCCAAAGTGATGCTCGTTTGTACTTGCAAATTATCAATACTATTGAGCCTTCTGTCTCGTCTCTGGTTAGTCATTGTGAATATGTGAAGGAACCTATGGATTATCTTGCTTTTTTGTAAATAGGACAAAGTAACATCTCTTTTATCTATAGTGTTTGTTAATCCTTTCATCGTGGAGAACAACAGGACCGATCACTCACTACGTATGTTATGGAGTTCAAGAAAGTGTATGAGGAGCTTAACTCTCTTCTCCCACTAAGTGTTGATGTCAAAGTCATGCAGACTCAGAGGTAACAAGTGGTTGTTGTCAGTTTCTTGACTAGTTTGCGACCAAAATTTGACTTAATTAGATCTCAGTTCTTGAATGAATCTGCTATTCCTTCTCTTCAAGAAACATTTTCCCGTGTTCTTAAGGATGAGAATCTTCAGGCTTCTCAAACTTCTGATCAAAACAGTGCTCTGGTTGGTTGAGGGGGATTTCGTGGTGGTTACCGAGGAGGATTTCGTGGGGGTCACTGTGGTCGCTCTAGAGGTGGCTACAGTGACCGAACAACCGACTCATGGGCTACTATTCCAGTTCTGATGATGTTGAGTGTTACTACTGCCATGAGTTAGATCACACCAAGTGCACATGTAAGAAGCTTTTGGCCAGACATCCTAGGAGTTCATCAGCGCACGTTGCCTCTGCCTTAGATAGTACTGTTACGATACCCGCAGAAGAATATGCTCGACTTTTAGGGACTGAGAATTCCACTGCTCCGACTGTTGCATTTGCTGAGATAGGCAACTCTAGTATATGCCTATTATCTTTTGCATCCAAATGGGTCATTGATTCAGGTGCTTCAGATCACATGACAGGTAATCCCACCATCTTCTCTAATTTCAGTAAACACAAATCCCCATCCCATGTCACAATTGCTGACGGGTCTACCACACCTGTCCTTTGGTTCTGGCACCATCGATCTTACCTCGCGTCTGTTTCGTTATCTTCCGTATTGAGCCGACCTAATTTCTCGTTCAATTTGTTATCAATCAACAAAATAACCCATGCTTTAAATTGTTCTGTCTCATTCTTTCCTGATTTCTGTGTCTTTTAGGATCTGTCGACGAAGAGGACTATTGGTAGAGGGCGGGAGATTGATGATGGCCTATACATATTTGAACATCAAGTACCTTCCTCATTGACTTGTTCTAGCTAATCGTTTTCACTTGAAGTTCATTGTCGATTAGGTCATCCGTCTTTACAAAATCTGAAGAAGTTGTGTCCTAAGTTTTCTTATTTACCTTCTCTACAGTGAGTCTTATCAGTTTGCCAAACATCAACATATTCATTTAAGTCCTAGAGTCTGTAATAAGCGGGCCTCATCCCCATTTGAGTTAGTTCATTCTGATGTTTGGGGACCATGTCCTGTTACTTCAAAACTTGGGTTAAAGTATTTTGTTACGTTTGTTGATGATTACTCTCGCACTACTTGGCTTTACTTTATGAAAAATCGATTCGAGGTATTCACACATTTTTGTTCACTCTATGCTGAGATTAATGCCTAATTTAAAGTCTCCATTCAAACTCTTCGTAGTGATAATGCAAGAGAATATTTGTCCCAAACATTTTTGTCATATATGATTCAAAATGACATTCTTCACGAGTCTTCCTGTTTTGGCATGCCAACCCAAAATGGGGTCGCGGAACGAAAGAATCGTCATCTTCTAGAGGTGGTTCGGGCTCTATTATTTCACATGACTGTTACTAAATTCTTCTGGGCTGATGTGGTTGCTACCGCTTGTTTTCTTATCAACCGAATGCCTTCCGCTGTCTTGGATGGTAAAAGTTCTTTCTCAGTTCTGTTTCCTACAAAATCATTGTTTCCTGTTGACCCAAAGATCTTTGGTAGTTCCTGTTTTGTCCGCGATACCCGACCTCACATAACTAAGTTGGATCCAAAGTCTCTGAAATATGTCTTTCTTGGTTACTCTCGACTTCAAAAAGGGTATAAGTGTTTTTCCCCTATGCTTAATCGATACATTGTATCACGAGACGTTACGTTCCATAAGGATATACCCTTCTTTTCTATGTCCACTCCTTGCAACCTAAGAGATAGTGATGATTTGTTGGTGTATACCATACCTGTTCCTGAGTATACTACCCCATCCGACTCGACACAGACCCAAGAGCCTACTAAACCACCGATAGTTCATGTATATAATAAGAGGCAATGACCTACATTAGATCCCGATCCAACACCATCTTCATCATCGTCTACAGATCCGCTTAATGATGATCCTCTTGCTTCGAGTGAT